CAGGATTTGGGGTTTGGGAATCTTGAGTGTCCAAAAATTATCAGGGATTTGGGGGAAAACTGGGAAATTTAATTATGGGGTTGGGAATCTGGAGTGTTGATAAATCAGCAGGGATTTGGGGGAAAGCTGCTGGGAAATTCAGTTTATCAGTTTGGGAATCTGGAGGGTCAATAAATTATAAATATATTTATTTATAAAATAAAATTAAAATTTTATTTTAAATGTATTTATTTAAAAATAAATGATGGGATTTGGGGATAATTTCTACTGGGAAATACATTGTGTATCAATAAATTTTCAGGGATTTGGGGCTAATCTGCTGGGAAATTTTGGGAATCTTGAGTGTCAATAATTCATCAGGGATTTGGGGGAAAGTGGGGAGAGAAGGGAGGAAAATGAGGCCTAAAGAGGCATTCAGGGGTGTTTTTATACTTAAAAACAGACAAACAATCCTTAAAACAACGGAGTTAAAATAGTAAAACTTCTCCTGCCTTGATAAAAATTCCCTGCTTCATTTTCCATCTGCTGCATGGCAGGAAAATTCTTGGATTACAAGGATGGAAATCCTTTTTTTCCATTTTTCCTCACTCCTATGCCACCTAGATGCCCTCCTGAGGGATCTGGTCTAGGGAAAACTTGGGAAAACTCCCAAATAATTCAATTTATTCCATCTTTCCTCACTCCTAGGCCACCTAGATGCCCTCCTGAGGGGTCTGGTCTTGGGAAAACTGGGAAAAGCCGGGCACAAGGCGACGCTGGAAGAGGCCCGGCGCCGGTTCAAGGAGCACGTGGAAGGGAAGCACATCCTCTCCGCTGACCTGAGGAGTCCTGTAGGTCCTGGGGGGCTTTGGGGGTCCCCAAAACCTCTCCCCACCCCCCTGGCAGGTGTATTCCAAAGGGAAGGGTGGAAATCCCTATTTTTTTGGTCATCCCGCTTCTGGAATTACCCAGATTTTCCTGAAATGGAGGAAAAACATCAAAGAGTTGAAGCGTCTTTCTAAGGCAGAGTTAAAACACGGGAAGGAGCAGTGCTGGCGCTTCCAGATTTGGGAATTCCGTCCCAATTCCATATAAAATTGCTGCATTTCCCAAAGTTTTGTGGGTTTTTTTTGGAAGTCATTCCTGGTTTTCTCCCAGGTCTACGTGACCGTGCTGAAGCACGGCGACAGCTCCACTCTGGACACCATGCTGAAGGTGGGTGCTCACTCTCCAAAATCCCTCGTTTCTCCCTCAAAAATCCCTCTGGGCTGGGATTTATCCAGAGCCAGCCCCAATCCTGGGTCCTGCTGTGAAATTCCCTTGGGAATTTCTCCCTTAAAAATCCCTCTGGGCTGGGATTTATCCAGAGCCAGACCCAATCCTGGGTCCTGCTGTGAAATTCCAGTGGGAATTTCTCCCTCAAAAATCCCTCTGGGCTGGGATTTATCCAGAGCCAGACCAATCCCAGGTCCTGCTGTGAAATTCCAGTGGGAATTTCTCCCTCAAAAATCCCTCTGGGTTGGGATTTATCCAGAGCCAGACCAATCCCGAGTCCTGCTGTGAAATTCCAGTGGGAATTTCTCCCTGTCCTGCTAAAAATCCGTTCATTCCTTGGGATTAACGGAGCCACCGGCACGGCCAGTTTGGGTTTGATGAGTAATTAGGAGCCCTGGCGCCCACAGAGGGTTCATTAGGCGTGGAATTAATTACTAATTAATATTTGGGGCGTGTTTCCCCCTGCAGCTGCACAAGCAGGCCGACATGCAGGAGGAGAAGAACCGGATCGAGCGCGTCCTCGGAGCCATCTCCCAGCCAGAGCTGATCCAAAAAGTTCTCACCTTTGCACTTTCGGTGAGTTCCCAGGAAAAATCCCTTTTCCTTGGGGATATTCCCAAGGGAATTCCTGGTGGGGAGAGCGGGGTGGGCTCAGAACTGCAGGAATTCTCCTCACGGGTCAAGCTCTGAGTTGTGTTTTTGGAGGGGAAATTCCAAATTAGGAAAAATCTTGAGGGGGTTGGTTCAAAGTTAAGAGAAGTCTTGAGTGAGGTGGGTTCAAATTAACAAAAATTTAACTGAGATGGTTCCAAATGAACAAAAATTTAACTGAGGCGGTTCTAAATGAACAAAAATTTAACTCAAATGGTTCCAAATGAACAAAAATTTAACTGAGGTGGTTCTAAATGAACAAAAATTTAACTCAAATGGTTCTAAATGAACAAAAATTTAACTGAGATGGTTCCAAATTAACAAAAATTTAACTGAGGTGGTTCTAAATGAACAAAAAATTAACCGAGACGGTTCCAAATGAACAAAAATTTAACTGAGACGGTTCCAAATTAACAAAAATTTAACTGAGATGGTTCCAAATTAACAAAAATTTAACTGAGATGGTTCCAAATTAACAAAAATTTAACTGAGATGGTTCCAAATTAACAAAAATTTAACTGAGATGATTCCAAATTAACAAAAATTTAACTCAAATGGTTCCAAATTAACAAAAATTCAACTGAGATGGTTCCAAATTAACAAAAATTTAACTGAGATGGCTCTAAATGAACAAAAATTTGAGTGAGTTGGTTCTAAATTAAGAAAAAATCTGAATGAGCTGGTTTGGAGTAAAGAAAACTCTGCTGGGTCTGGTTGGAGGCTCCTGCTCCAAGCAGATTTTCTGATTTTCAGATTTCCTGATTTCAGATGTGGGGATTTTCTGATTCCCTGTGGAAGTTCATCCCAATTTTCCTGGCAGTGCTTCCAGCACCAATTCCCAGGGAGCCAAAATGCACTTTTACCTCTCAATTTACCAAAGAGCCAAAATGATCTCTCTAAATCTCTCCAGTTTTAAGTAAAAATCAATTTTTTTGTGGATATAACCTGAGAATAACTCAGAGTTTTGCTTTTCCTTCAAGCTTTGAGTAGTACATTAAATTTTGGGGTAAAGAAAAGCGCTTTAATTGACTGATTGAGTGTGGAAACGCCTAAAACCTTAACCCAAAATATCAAAATTATTGGGAAAACGTGGAATATTAACAACATTTCCCTCCCCAGGAAGAGGTACGTCCCCAGGACACGGTGTCAGTGATTGGAGGAGTGGCTGGAGGCAGCAAGCAGGGCAGGAAAGCTGCTTGGAAATTCGTAAGGGACAACTGGGAGGAGCTTTATAATCGATACCAAGGTGGATTCTTAATATCCAGATTAATAAAGGTACGTGGGGCCCTGAGGAAAAGCCCTTCCCTCACACCTGGGACTGGAAATGTTGAATTTCACCCTAATTTTGGGGTTTTTTTCCCCTCCTTCAGCTGACAGTGGATGGATTTGCAAACGATAAAATGGCTGCAGAAGTGAAGGTGAGAAGCTTTAATTAAAGAATTTATTTAATTAGTCACTGATAAACTTGGGGTGCTCTGGCTGGAAGAGTCAAATCCTGGTGGATTTTGTTGTTCTGTCCCCAAAGTGACCCTTTTTAGGTTGGATAAAATATCACAGAAATGCCTTAAATCAGCATTTTGGGAGGAATCTGGAATTTTCACTGATTTCTGCTTCATTCTTTTTGACTTTGATAAAATCCAGCAGAGTTTGGCAGCAGCTTTGAGCCTCCCCAGAAAAAGAAAACTTTTAAATATTCAGATTTATTCCCATTTCCATCACTGGTCGAGCTCTGAGGGTGGGTGTGGGATTCATTTTTGATTTGTTCCCCACATTTTTCCAAGAACATTCTGGAAGAAGAAACTTTAAATCAGGGCTGTTAATTTGTTAATTAGTGTTTCCTGTTAGGAAAACACCCAGAAGGAATTTTTATTCCAAGGGTCAGCTGAGCCCTGAGCTGGCTCTGTCCTTTTTATCATTTTGTGACTTTTCTTAGCTAAGATTTAATAGCAAAAATAATTTTACAGAGAATTTTGCATTAGAATTAATTTTTTTAAATTTTTTTGTTGCAAAACACTGAGCAGAAAAACCACCCCTAATTAAATCCCAGCTCTTTTCCAAAAGAATTCCCAAGCTTTTAGTGGAGAATTCCCTGTGTCTGAGCCTCCTCACCTTGCAGAGTGTGAGGTGATCTGACAAATCCTGGGAAAAGGATTTTCCCAGGAAAATGGAAATGCTTGGAGGGAGGCTGGGATAACTCTCCCTGTCCCAGGAAAATGGGAAGGGCTCCAGGAGGAAATGTGAGAGTGCCCAGCCAGCCTGGCCTGGGGTCACTGTCCATCCATCCCTGGGGTCACTGTCCATCCATCCCTGGGGTCACTGTCCATCCATCCCTGGAGTCACTGTCCATCCATCCCTGGGGTCACTGTCCATCCCTGGGGTCACTGTCCATCCATCCCTGGGGTCACTGTCCATCCATCCCTGGGGTCACTGTCCATCCATCCCTGGGGTCACTGTCCATCCCTGGGGTCACTGTCCATCCATCCCTGGAGTCACTGTCCATCCATCCCTGGGGTCAGTGTCCATCCCCTAAAGTCAGTGTCCAGCCAAACTGGAAGCATTTCCCCATCCCTGGAAGCATTTCCCCATCCCTGGGAACATTCCCCATCCCTGGAAGCATTTCCCATCCCTGGGAACATTCCCCATTCCTGGAAGCATTTCCCCATCCCTGGGAACATTTCCCATCCCATCCCTGGGAACATTTCCCATCCCTGGGAACATTTCCCATCCCTGGAAGCATTTCCCCATCCCTTGGGAACATTCCCCATCCCTGGAAGCATTTCCCATCCCTGGGAACATTTCCCCATCCCTGCAGGTTCCCAGGGATGGATGGACAGTGACTCCAGGNCCCCACCATTCCCCCCTCCTGCTGCCATCCAGAACCTTCTCCCAGCCGTTTCCTTCTCCCCCCAGGCGTTCTTCGAGAGCCACCCCGCGCCGTCAGCGGAGCGCACGGTGCAGCAGTGCTGCGAGAACATCCTGCTCAACGCGGCGTGGCTGCGGCGCGACGCCGACAGCATCCAGCACTTCCTGCAGCAGCGCCGAGCCCCCGTGTGAGCCCCCGGCGCCAGCAGCGGCCCCAGCGCAGCCCAGGGGACCAGGGAGGAGCCCCCCACCCCTGACCCCCCCAGCCAAGAATTCCGGAGATTTGTTTGGGGTTTTTTTTTTTCATTTTTTTCCTGGTTTTTTGGGGATTTTTGTTTATTTTTTTGCTTATTTTTTTCTTATTTTTTGGTTTATTTTTAATTTATTTTTTTGTTTATTTTAATTTATTTTTGTTTATTTTTTTGCTTATTTTTTGTTTATTTTTTTGTTTATTTTTAATTTTTGTTTATTTTTTGCTTATTTTTGGTTTATTTTTGATTTATTTTTAATTTTTTTTGTTTATTTTTGCTTATTTTTGCTTATTTTTTGGTTTATTTGTAATTTTTTTTGTTTATTTTTAATTTAATTTTTGTTTATTTTTTTTGCTTATTTTTTTTTATTTTTAATTTGTGTTTACTTTTTGCTTATTTTTTGGTTTATTTTTAATTTATTTTTTGTTTATTTTCTGCTTGTTTTTTCTTTATTTTTTGGTTTATTTTTAATTTTTTGTTTATTTTTAATTTAAGTTTTGTTAATTTCTTGGTTTATTTTTTGTTTATTTTTCTTTATTTTTTCTTTACTTTTTCTTTAATTTATTTTTGTTTATTTTTTCTTTATTTTTTCTTTACTTTTTCTTTAATTTATTTTTGTTTATTTTTCTTTATTTTTTCTTTACTTTTTCTTTCTTTTTTTCTTTTAATTTTGGTTTCTTGGGGTGGTTTTTTTTTTCCTTTTTTTTATGTTTATTTCCTCCTCTTCCTCCCTCTCCTCCTCCTCCTCCTCAAGCCCATGGGGATTGGACCGTGAATGTAGAGTTTAACCGGTTCCTGCTCACACACTCCAAGAATTTGGGAAAAATTCTGTTTGGAAAAAAACAAAACAACAACAAAAAAAATCTTATCAGCGATTCTGCAGAAAGAGAGAGAGAGAAAGAGAGAAAAAAAAATACAAAAACACAAAAAAAAAAATAAGAGAGAGAGAGAAAAAAAAAAATCTGTAAATATGATAGTAATAAAATAGAGCATAACAAAACTGTGAAACTTCCTCAAGCCTTGTCAGTGGTTAAAATATTTAACACCCCTCTCCTCCCCTTTCCTCTTATTGACAGATGTTCTGTTTTTTACACCCTGAAAAAAGACAAAACCAGGGGTTTTTAGGTCAGTCTGAGGCAGGAGTGGGGATCCCTGGGCTGGCCGTGCTTCGACAGAACCCGTGCAAGGTTTTGGGGAGATCACCCCGAGGATTGTAGGGCTCCCCCTTTCCCTTTTGTCTCAGCAACAACAAAAAAAAACCCAAAAACCCCAAAAAAAACCCCCAAAACAACCCCAACCCCCCTGTTGTTTCTGTTGGGTTCCCCCCTCCCCTCTCGCTGATGTCCTCCGTGCAGAGCTCAGATTGTAAAGGAAACCCTCTGACAGCCACATTAAAACCAGAAAGGTTGGTGCAGTTTGATTTCATTTCCCATTTCCTCCCCGAGCAGGGGGATGTGGGGGCTGCCCTGCCCTCCTTCTCCAGAGGATCCAACTTCCCCCTTTTCCTCGCCGTGATTTCGCTGGAAAATTGGATTCTGAAGCCTTAAAATGATGATGATGATGATGATGAAGCTGTGCCATCATCCCCTCCCAAAGCAGCGTGGTCCTACTAACCAGCCACCCTCTAATACACAAAGGTTGGAGTTCCAGCTTTTATTTTTATTATTTTTTGTCGTTTTTTCCCTCTTTTTTTCTTTATTTTCTTTAACAGGAATTCGTATTTGGTGTGGCTTTAACTGTTAAAATTTTTTTTTTTCGGAAGGTCATCAGATTTAACTTGTCAGATTGCTTCCCCTCCAGACATTTTTGTGCTATTGTTTAAAAAAAAAAAATGAAAAGGGTTACAGAAAAAAAAAAAAATCACAAAAATATCCTAAAAAAAAAAACCTACAACAACAAAAAAAAGAGTACAAAATAAACAAACAAACAAAAAAAAGATTTAAAACAGTTGGCGTTAATAAAAATGTCAATGTGAAATTCATGTCCTCACTTTGTGTTCTGTTTGAAGGCTGAAAGGACCCAAAACTGGGTTTATTTGAGCCTGAAAGGACCCAAAGCTGGGTTTAACTTAGGGCCTGAAAGGACCCAAATCTGGGTTTATTTGGAAGCTGAAAGGACCCAAAGCTGGGTTTATTTTGAGCCTGAAAGGACCCAAAACTGGGTTTATTTGGAAGCTGAAAGGACCCAAAATTGGGTTTAACTTAGAGCCTGAAAGGACCCAAAGCTGGGTTTAACTTAGGAGCCTGAAAGGACCCAAATCTGGGTTTAACTTAGAGCCTGAAAGGACCCAAAACTGGGTTTATTTCAGCCTGAAAGGACCCAAAATTTGGTTTAACTTAGAGCTTGAAAGGACCCAAATCTGGGTTTATTTGAGCCTGAAAGGACCCAAAGCTGGGTTTATTTGGAAGCTGAAAGGACCCAAAGACAGAGGTGAGGGGACAGCAGAGGCCAAGGTGTCACTGCCAGGACCCTCCCGTGTCACCAGGGCAGTTTTGGCTCACAGAGCCCGAGCAGAGCCCGTGGAATCGGAATAAAATCCACCCTCAGGCACTCCAGAACCGCTCAGGACCGGATTCAACACAGAAACAACAGAAAAAAATTAATCATAAATAAAAAAATCTCTATTAAACAGCGCAAAGTTTGGCAGAATCACATTATGGAAACACTTCCAGGGTGGGGAATCACCCCAAAAATGGGAATTTTGAGGTTCTGAGCCGCATTCCCGGGGTTGGTTTGGGAATTTTGCATTTCCCTGGAGTCAGCAGCAGCTTTTTCCCCAGACTAAACCTTTCCCTTCTGCTCCCTGCACATGGACAAAAATCAAAATAACCCTGGAGGGAGCGGGGATCCCGAGGGACGGGAACAAAACCAGCCCGAGAGCGCCTGAATTCCCCAATCCAGGAATTCCAGGATTCCTCCTTCCCACAGGAAATCTTGATTTTTATTGCTTGGAGGCCAAGTGGTGATGGATGAGGATGGAGGAGATTTTGGGATGAGGAAATTCCCGAGAGGAATTAAATTCCCAATTAAATTTGGGATTGTTCTGTTCCATGGGGAATCTTTAGAGGCAAAGTGATTCCAGGGAAAAGGGCGGGACAAGGAGATTTTAGGGTGAGGAGAGGGCAATTAATGAGGGAATTGTGGTAATTAATGAGGGAATTGTGGTAATTAATGAGGAAATTTGGCGATTAATAAAGGAATTGTGGTGATTAACCAGGGAATTGTGGCTGCCACATCCCTGGAAGTGTCCCTGGAGGAGCTTTTATCTCCTTCCCACTGTCCTGGGGTGATGGGATATTCCCCAAAACCCGGATTTTTTAGGGAATGACGGATCCTGGGACAGCCACAGCTTCCCTGGGAAATCCCTGCAGCGTTTTTAGAACCTCCTGCTGAAAACTTCTTCCTTTTAGCTCATCTAAATCAATTCTCTCCCGCTTTGAAACCACCCTCCCCTGTGCTGCCGCAACCTTCCGGCAATCCCGGAATATCCTGAGCTGGAAGGGACCCCCAGGGATCATCCGGCCCTGCAGGACACCCCAAACCCCACCCTGGCCATCCCTGGCCAAACATTCCTTCAGCTCTGGAAAGGTTGGGATCACCACCCTTCCATGGGGAGCTGTCCCAGAGCTCCACCACCCTCTGAGGAAAAACCCCCAAATCCAACTCAAAACCCAACCCAACCCGTAACATCAACAAACCCAACCCAAAACCCCTGCAGTTCCAAGAGTTTTGGGATCACCACCATTCCATGGGGAATCAGCTCCAGTGCCTGATCACCCTCTGGGGAAAAAACCCAAAATCAACCCAAAATCCACCCAAAATCCACCCAAAATCAACCCAAAATCCACCCAAAGTCAACCCAAATCCCCAAAACCACCCAAAGTCAACCCAAAGTCAACCCAAAATCCACCCAAAAATCCACCCAAAATCAACCCAAGATCTCCATCCCAAAACTCCTGGAGCTCTGAGAGCTCTGGGACCACGAGTCCTCCACAGGGAGCTGCTCCAGCACCCAAAAACCCAACCCAAGAAACCCAACCCGAAACTCCCGGAGCTCCAGGAGTTTGGGGAAGCTGTCCCAGCCTGTTCCCAGCAGGAATTCCTTCCCCAATCCCCGCCTGACCCAGCCGCGCTCCCCCTTCTCCCCGCATTCCAGCGGATCCCGTGTCTGGAGCGCGTCCCTTTCCCAGGAATCCTTCGGGAGCTTTGCGATGATGACAGGGCCGAGCGCGGCGCTCCCCCGCCCGGGGCG